ATACGAGGGAGTGGTTGACACATCGTCCGTGTGACTTTGTTTATGCTGGAGTGAACATTAGTCTCCCTGCTCTTCCAAACATTTCACAATAATTCATTGTGTTTGGTGCTTGTAGATTGAGTGTGACTGGAGTGGTAGAGGCAGTGATTGAGGCAATGGTATTTAATAACATACATGTTAATAATAATACATGTTATTAATAATCGTACTATTATTATTTATAACATATTGTTATTAAATACATACTGTTAATTATAATACATGTTATTAATAACATGTACTATTATTATTTATAACATATGTGTTACTAAATACCACTGCCTCAGCCGCTGAATTATTGTGAAATGTTTGAAAGAGCAGGGAGACTAATGTTCACTCCAGCATAAACAGTCACACTGACGATGTGTCAACCACTCCTCGTTTTTTTGTACAATTTCCTTCTTCAATATATCGTGTTGTTGTTTTTTTTTTTTGTTTAGATTTTTTTTGTTTGTTTAGTTTGTTCGTTTTTGTTGTTAGTGTTGTTGGTGTTGTTGTTGTTGTGTTTTTATTGTTGTTTTTTTTATTGGCAATACAGAAATGTCTCGATTCTTTGCTGTGTTCGTCAATAGTAAACTCATGATATCACCGTCTTAATACCTTTCCAAATACCATTCCAATATGCATCATGAATGGTGTTTACAATATTTATTCTGTATTTAATATTGCAAATAATGAAACATATACTAAAACACTCACCACACTGAGTGGTGAGGGAACTGGTTGCACAGTTCGCGGGGGTCGGTAGGAGGGTCTCCTTAAGCGACTCGCAGTGGTGGAGTACTTGTTCATTAATCAGAATCATGTTATTAAATAACATACAGGTTATTAAAGCATAACATGTATATATTTAGTACAATTTACAACGTTTTCATGTATTTTATGATTATTCATGGTTCAACAAGTTAAGGAAGCAGTATTGTAATATATTTCCCTGCAATATATTGGGGCACCAAACATTCACGGTTTTTCAACATTCGCGAGGCTCTTGATCCCCTAACCCTCGCGAATGTTGAGGGAGACCTGTACATTAGTTCATTTCCTGTATTCTGTTTATTATAATACACAGTACACTACTGTATAAACATTTAAAATACATTAGAAATGTTATAAATGGTGCAAAGGTGACATTAAAACAATATCAAAGATGGCTTGACACAAACCCACTATTACAGTATGCTCCTCACTTAGTGACGAATTCGTACCGAAGTGATCTTAGGAACAGAACTCGTTCTTAAGCGAGGAGAGGCTGTATTTAATACTTTTGCTTCTTTTTATCATAAACATTTGGCAAATCAGTACATACATGTGATACAAAATCACCACTGTCCAGCTATTTTCGTACTTTGTGTAAATATGAAATGGTGTTTGTTTGACACCACTGACACATTTTTTAGAAGCCATAGCTATGGTTAAATGCTAGCAAAATATGCTAAGAATTCCACAAAATCAAGGGATCACCAACAACTACAGTGTAAACAATTCAAGTGAATTTGTGCTGCACACAGTGCTATCCATGGCTGTCTTCATAATTTTGTCTGAACCAAAGAAAAGGTGCTGGACCATCTTAGGCAGAAAATCGATGTTGTACCTATATTTGCAATGTCTTTTTGATCTCTACGTGTTAACTATGGTTGTTTTTTCTTTTACCTCATCTACTTGCTTTCTAGGTTCTTTCCTTCCTTTCAACTGCATCTGCATAGCTCTCATCAATCTTTGAGATAAATGTGTCTAGTTTCCATTCTCAGCATTCCTATCTTATCTCCATGCTCTTATTGCCTATTGTCTGGTTTATCATATCTCAAATCACACTGTTTTGTTCTTTTATCAATGTTTATTTTTTCATTTGGATATTTAGTATTGTTTTTGCTTGTCTATGAATTTTCTTTTCCTGAATCTTGATCTAGCCCCATTTTTGCTTTTTTTTTGTGCATGTGTTAGCAAGCACTTAGTGATTTTGTTAGGGTTATTTTTATTATTTTATTCTTTAGCTTGCTTTTCACACTGTCATATCTAACATTAAAGAATCAAAGAAATAATTTTTGTTTACTCATACTCCCTTGAAAAGTTGTCCGCTAAATATTTTGTTAACTACAGTACTCTGATCCAAGAATTAAACTACCTGGCAACAAATAAACTATTGTGTTATGTGATAGATATGCATAAATTGAACTGTATTTAAGGGTTATATTCACTTTCTTTCAGGCTAGAACCCTATCTGTGTTTCATACCATAAATAAAAAAAATAATGATGTCCACACCACAGGAAATATTTATTCATTGTGTAAACTGTTATTTATAAAGATATTATCCATTATAATACCTTTAGGTTTACAATCACATAATGCACTGAGCCAGTGATCCAGCATTTTGTTGCTGGTTCATTTATTATTAGTCTGGATTTGGTTGGGGTATCTGTAGGTTATCTGTAGTTGCTTCTGGGGGTCACTGCCCCCTCAACCCTGACCCACACCAGGCCTCCTGGTTGCTGGCCTAATTAATCAGGCTGTTGGTACCCATCACCTGCAGTCAGATGTATGCACCACATCCTGGTTGGTCAAGAACCAACTTGAGAAATTTGTCCCATTCCCTCTTGAAGACACCCAGGGGTCTGTTGGTATCTGCATATCCATGAAGCAAAGGTGTTGAGTTGTGGTCCCTTTTCACTTAATGAGGTTTTCTTTGCTCATCTTGCTCCTGTGCTTTTCACTGGAGGTATCTGCACCATCTGCCAGGCCTTGTGTTCATATGTAGTGGTTTAGGTGTACATATTTGGGACCAATCCCTCCAGAATCTTTCAAATGTAGATTTATCTTGCCTCTTCCTTGCCTGCATTCTAAGGAGTACAGTTTGATGGACTGCTTGACTTGAGTACGTATATGGGCTGTGAAGGTTCTCAATACATTTTTTAATAATGCAGTTTTTCCTGTTTTACAGGGGGCTGTCATTACACAGCAGTATTCCAGCCTACAGAGAATAAGTGCCTTGAGTGTCATCATTGACGTGTGTGTGTGTGTGTGTGTGTGTGTGTGTGTGTGTGTGTGTGTGTGTGTGTGTGTGTGTGTGTGTTTATTTTTAATTTCTAGTTACCCAACCTACCATTTTCTTTGTGGATGTGACAATGACATTGTTGTACATGTACTTGAGGTCTTCTGACATTATCAGTCCCTCATCTCTTACATTAGACTTGTACTCTATTGAGTGATTTTAAGTTTGTCTTGTAATTTGATCTTGTTTTTTTATTTCCTCAGTCCTTCCATACATAGTACAGTAACTGAATTTTGTCTTCATTGAACATAGTGTTGTCAGTAGCCCACTGGAAGACTTGGTTGATATCGGCTTGGAAGCTCACTCTGTCTTCTTTGACTGCTACTTTCCTGCAAATTCTAGTATCGTTACCAAAGGATGATACAGTGCTATTGTTTATTTCTGTCAGATATGAGAAAGAGAAGTGGGGGAGTACTGTGCTTTAGTATTTCCTGATTTTACTCTTGTCACCATTCACGTTATTTCCTTTGCACATTTGGTTTTCATATTTTTTTTGTTTTGTAAATTTGCCAAAATAAAACTATCTCCAATGCTTATGAATTTGGTAAAAAAAAAAAAAAAAAAAAAAAAAAAAAAAAAACTGGGAATGTTTGGGTGAGAGTTGGACTTGTATAGCATAGGCTAGTAGGCCTACTGCTGTGCTCCTTTGTACTTATTTAAGGAAGCATTTGTTTAACAATAGTGGGAAGACTTCAGATTATCTTAGTATACTGAGATATGGTTAAAAAAAATAGTGCTGCTGGGTTTGAATGAGTGTACTTGTACCCAGTATAGTGAACTATTGGTAGAAATAGTGTCACCGAAGTTAAACCATTTTGCATAAAGCAAAACTGCTTAAAGCAAAGGAAACCTGTACATGTAGTTTACCTGAAGACAATACCAGTGGTCACTGCCCCTACAGTCCAATCCCAGGCCAAGTCACCTGGTTGACAGCCTGAATCAGGCTGTTGGTACTGGCCACACAGTCCAATATGGGTACCATATCCTGGCTGATGAGGATCTGACTAAAGGAACTTAGGTTCTTTCTTGAATATAGCTAGCTAATAGTTTGTTGGTAGTGTCAGGAAGGGTGTGGGGGTGTAAACAAACAGCCTTTCATGTGGATCAGTTTGTGTGCGTACTGCACAGCTGTCTCTTAGTGCTGATTGCTTTTCATTACCCCGTCTTGTCTCTGGATGTTAATCATGGTGTCCAAATGAAGTGCACATGTTGCTAGTCAACTGGCTTTGAGAAATTATATGATTTAAATTCATTTATAATTAGTTTCAATTAATCTTCCAGATTTTCAGTTAAAATTAAAATTACGTACTTCATCAACATTGTTAAATCTTTGAAATACATAATAAGTAAATATTTTACTTCACATGTTGTATTTAAGTGTAAGCACTTCAACAATACACAAGAATACCATTACAGTAGTTACATTTTCAATCAGATCCAGACAAATACAGAACATTTGCATAATATTTGTTAGCTAAATCCGCCATAAATCCACTGAGATTGTAGATAACTAAATAAACTTTGTTTTGCATAATGTACCTTACTGTGTTAGATCTAAGACATATTGTTTAATATTTTTTTCATTCAGTGCAATTTAAACAAGAAAACTGCACTTTGAAACCAAACAAAATTAGCAGAATTGTTGCAGAAGGTTGCAAATGAGCATAAAAATGATATTGACTTAATGGTGCACATCAACTTTAAAAAGTTACATCCATTTTCACATATTAGTTCATTAACATTCGAGCATGGACACTACTCGTAAATTTCTCAGTTTCCCCTAATCAAATGTTTGGGGAAGATGCAGCCTTTAGTAAGATCCTACTGCAAATGAGAAAATTTCCTTTTGTGCTAAATACTTTCGCTGGCAGTGCTGAAGTGGTTATGCAACTCATCATTTCTCTTGTGTGTTTCTTCAGAGGGAGCATCTTTGGAGGAGATTCCCTCCAACAGGCCAGGGGATCTACGTCAAATGCAGCACAATCCTCGTATGCTGTACGTGTTTTCAAAATTCATTCTAGTTCATCAGTGGGTGATTTTGCCTTCAACTGAAGAGGGCAGTAATGAAAAAAGGTGTAGTCTCTTGGGTAGATTTGGCCTAGACTCGGTGATCCGTCATTTTGGATCATTTCACACCCTGTTTCCATATTCTCAGATTTGCTTGCAAGAAGGTGCCTGATCTCTTGAAGCACATATTCTCTTTTTTTTTTTTTCTTATTCTGATGGAACCAATTGAACTTGAAGTGAGAATAATAAAAAAAAGGTGTTGGTGTTATGCCAGTCATCTCCAAAAATTTTGCCAAAGTTTCATAGCAGGGAAAAGGCAGAATCTACTAACTGCTGTATGGATTGCTGTAGACCAATAATTATGAAGGTGACCATTTTCTTCTATTTGTTCCATTTCTTCTTTAAATGAGAAAAGAACTGTCACACACACTTTGTTCTGTGATCTCCATTACTAATAACTTCTTGCTTTTATTCTCCCTACCATTTGGCTAATCTAGCTTTGTTGACATTCTCAGATCCTTTCGGAACTGATTTGTATCATCTGTGTGAATTCCATCGTATTACATTTGAATTCCAAATTGTAAATAAATTGTAAATACGTACCTTTTTCTTGGAGGAATGGTGCAGCAGAAGTTGACCTTTGGATTAAATTCATAATGTTTTTTGAATTGTTATACATAGAAAAGAATTATTGATGACTGGATTAGCGAGACCATCTTTTACGAAGCTAAGTATAAAAAAGCAGCTTGTACATCCTGGCAAAACATTGAGAACACTTTTCATATTCATTTCCTTCTCAGTGCATATTAATTTCCTCCTCAATGATATCTGCCTCGTCCTGATCTGATAAGTTAATTTTTAAGGTTCTGCATTGTGAAAACCAATGAGAGGGACATCAAAAACCTTAATTAGTTTTGAGGCATCAATTCCTGTAACTTTCTTTGCTATATCTCTGATAGCATAATGGACAACCAGCTCCTCATATGCAGTTGCTATGTTGCACTTCTGTCCCTCACTTTTGTGGTAGATGTGTTCCTGGGTGATGGCACGTAAATCAAACCCATTAAAACATGTACATGTAATTGATAATGATGCATTCCCAGACTGTCTATTCCACCAATTTTTGCTCACACACCAGTATTTTTTTTTTTACCAAATGCATTCATGTTCTATGAATGTTTCATGCATGTATGAAGGTCTCGGTTTTCTGGAAAAAACTGCTCAAGAATGTAAGCTGTTGGCTCGTTGGGAAGGAGAGGAGGGTTGTTGGTTAGGCAAGGTGGTGGGTGGGTAGTCTGGGAGCTGTGGAGGGAGGCCCCAGCCAATGCCTAGAGGGTGGACAGGGGGAGGGCTGGATGTGACCCCAGGAGGGTGGCTTGTCCTGGACTGGTGGTTGGGGCACTCACTGTCTCCTTTATTCCCTGTGCAAGTAAGGGTGGGAGAGGACAGGGGTTCACGTGTCCTGGATAGGTTTAATGGGCGAGGAGTATGACATGACAACAGTATCCCTCACTTACTATTGCCTTCAACACAGTACATTAGTTGAGTGATATGTGATGCAGTGTTGGTTAAATATTAAGTGGTGCTGTACTTGAGTGATAGCATAAGTTAAAACACACAGCGACCACCCTCTCCAATCACAAGAGTGAATTTTTACTGCATGTAATGAATTCCTGATAGAAATAGGGTTGCTGTATATAAACAAAATTTCACGTGGTGAACCCATGTTTTTACTTTAACCTGTTCGTAACTGGAAAAATTTCTTTTGGGTTATTGGTGTTTGACTTCAGTAATAAAAAATGAAAATTCACGGAGAGAATAATACATTGTGGGAGTACATGTATTGCAGTGCTTGCCTCATAAAAGATTTATTTTTATTCATCTTCTGCTGAAATGCTCGGGTGCGGTATTATAACTAGATAACAGCAGGTTTGTTTCTTGAATTTTTCATCATCTAATAATTGATACTCTCATGAACCAGCTTATTAAAAATTTTTAAGAGTATGCTGTTGAGACATGGTTCCATGTCAATACATAGCTGTCAAGAGCCATGTCCTTGCTAAATTTGCTTTTCTTGAAATGCCTGTGATACTAGACTGGTTCTTACTAATTTGTTATTGTACTGTGCAAAAACTAATGTGTACATGTGAAGTAACCATCATTTATTCTTATGCCAAGTACAAACATGGCTTATCTTGTGTTCCTGTTTAAGCACTTGCTTGCAGCAAGTTGTACATATTCTGAACAAAGAATTTTGGCCTTGAGGGTAAAATGCTGTGTACCTGCTTTATAATGTTGAGAATTAAGTATTCATAGATTTGAAATTTTGTTTACTGATGCCGTCAATGAAAAAAATATGCTATGGGTTTCTCTTTCCAGTTCAGCTTTGCCATATAGCATATTGTGCCCAAATGCAGACAGATTGTTGGCTTTGTGTTTCTCACTCTGAAGTTATGAATATACCAGGCTACATGTTCTCCATATATACATGTGTATGCCATACAATCCTACTCTAATATCTTCAAACTTAGGAGCATCCACTATATCAGTAGTTGACTATTCGGCAAGAAAAATAGACTGTATTGTAAAGTAGCCGGATAAGAAAGACCTCCAGAAAAACAACAAATATGGAAATTTTGTTGAACCCTATTCAATCAGGATTGTACTGTGTTAAAGCTATAGTACTGTATGAGTTAATACCAATTTATTAGGAGGTCATGATCAGTGGATGTAGTGCAGTAGATGGTGTGTGCTTTTTCTACTTGAAGTACTGTTTATATTCATTCCTTGTAGGCATACTCATTGCACATTTTGAATTGCTTGGAATTGCTTTTGCCAAGTGTCCCATGGTCCCAGATTTTTTTTTATCACTTTTATCATGATCTTCATTGGGTTTACTTCAAAGTTTTACATATTTCAGTTTTGGTTTTTGAAGTTTACCAGTTAACTCACATTATCTTTATGCAACTTTTCATGAATTATCAGATAATCTGGTTTATATGAACTAAGGTGTACAGAGAGTATGATGGAATATATTGTACCTTCCAGATTCTGCAAAAGAAGTAGGGTGGAGGAGGAGCGTGTGAGGAGGAGAGTTTAGAGGAGTCTTCATTGCCTGAGGTGTCATGTCAGGCTCAAAGTGCTACAAATGCAACCGCATGGGACACTTTGCTAGGGAGTGTCCCATGGGTAGTGGTCCCGGTCCAAGGGGGCGTGGTGGTCCAAGGGGTAGGTTTTTCAATACATAGTTATCAAGCAGATTTATTATAATTATTGGCAGTTAATCCAAAAACTGCTCATTTAATTTTTTTTTAATTTAGAATTGAAGGCCATTAGCATTGGCTGTATGCACAAGGCATGATCATTGGCTAAAATCCTTTTTTCAGTGCTTCAGCTAATATTTTACTCATTTAGCTCAGAGCTGTTGCCTCGTGACAGTTTTGGGAACCATATTTTTTTAGAGGGCTATTAGTTTCTAAACAAGAATTATATATATCTCATTACAGATTTTAAAAACACTCCCTTGTATCGTAAAAGGTGTAAGTCTGATTAGATGAAGGTGAGTGTTTTGGGAATAACGTACAGTGGAACCTCAGTTTTCGTCATTAATTCATTCCAGAAAGTCTGACGAAAACCGAATTCGAACGAAAACTGAAGCATTATTTCCCATAAGAAATAATGTAAATCCAATTATCCGTTCCAGACACCCAAAAGTATTAACAAAAAATGCATTTTATAGAGAATAACTATAGTTTTACATACGGAAAACAATGAGAAATAAATATAAAGGACTAACGAAATGGATAAATAAACATTTAATATCACTTTACTTTTATTGAAGACTTGTTGGCATATGGAAGATGCGAGGAGGGGAGAGGGATGAGGAGAGATTATTGGTTGGAAGGGTAATCCCCCTCCATAAGGTCTTCTGGTATCAAGTCCCTGTCCAGGGTTACTTCCCATCTTCGTCTTTTACTGGCACTGGACCCCTGTTGCACAAAAAATCTGTCCAGAGAGGTCTGTTTCTGGCATCTCTTTAAGATTTGCCTAAAATTGGACAAGGCATTGTTATTGAACATGTTGCAGACATGGCATGCAACAGCTTTGTTAGGGTGATATTTCTCCACAAAGCTTTGTAACTCACTCCACTTTGCACAAATGTCCTTAATCACCAAAGAAGGTGCATACTACCCTCTCTTCCTCCTCCTCTGAAGCGATTTCCTCAGCTGCGATCTGTTGCTGTTCCAGTTGAAGGTGTTAGAGCTCTTCAGTGGTTAGTTCTTCCCTGTGGTCGTCCACCAACTCTTCCACATCCTGACCACTCGCATCCAACCCCGTGGACTTCCCCAAAGTCACAATAGATTCCACAACAGGTGTAGGGTTGTCAGGGTCAGCCTCAAACCCTTCAAAATCCTTCTGTTCGATTGCGATCTCTGTTTCGTTAGCACATTTACCCCTTTCGCAACATCAGATTCCTTGATTTCTTTTTTCTTCGCCAGGATGGAACTGATCGTTGATGAGGACTTCCCGTACATCCTGGTGAGATTGACCACGTGTACGCCACTTTTGTACTTTGCTACGAGTCCTTTCTTGAATTCTATCATATTTCTCACCGTCTTTATCAAAGGGCTGGCACTTGGAACTGTCTTTGGCCCCACGGTGGCTTATTTAGCAGTTGCACTCAATAAACAAGCACAAAAAAACAATGGCTTATTACGAAATGTTTCGGATGAATGCGCAGGGTAATACTCCCTCGACGAGAAACAAAACCAAACTGACTCAGAACATGTGGGATGCTTTGTGTGGGCATGGGCAGGTGGACACGTTCAGTATGGTGAACCGAAGAAAACCGAGGTGATGAATGAAGACTGGGACAAAATTTTGACAAAAAAAGTTGTCGAAAACCGAATTTGATGAAAACCAGGGCAAACGAAAACCGAGGTTCCACTGTATATAGTATGCGGCATAAATAGTGTATTGTATATGTAGGTAGTAGGTTGGTAGACAGCAACCAGCCAGGGAGGTACTACCATCCTGCCAAATGAGTGTGAAATGAAAACTTTTAATAGTTCTTGGTCTTACATTATTGACTTAATCTTCATGGGTAATTGGAGAAGAATCCTTCCTCTGTAAGCCATGCTTGTCTTAACCCTTCGACTGTCGCAAGCCCCTTTCTGAAACTGTCATTCTGTCGCAAAATTTTTGGATTTTTTTTTTCTTATGAAATGATGGAGAATCTTTTTCCGATGGTAATGACGCCAAAAATATGAAATGTTGTCTAAAACTCACAGAATTACGCTCCCGCGAAGTTAGCGGTCTTGGCGACTTGTACGCATCGGCGATTTTGCCGACTTTGAGCCCTGTTTTTGGCCAATTCCATTGTTCCAGTTGACCAAACTCATAGCTATTTCTTTAGAACCCCATTTTTTCTATCAGTTGAGTACAAGAAACTGCCCCTTTACCGATTTGATCTACCCAATAAAGTGGTCAGAAATTGGCAGTTTGGCCAATTTCATGCAAATTAAAAAAGATGCCAGTTTCAAAATAGGGTCTAGAATAAATAATGTAGATATTCTTGGCACTAAAATAACATATCCTCTGTTCATTAGTCACGTCTCTAGGCCCTCACGTCTCTTATATTACCATTGCTTTCTATTTTGATTTTTTATTCGTACAAAAAATACAAAATTTACTGTTATGCAGACTATTGCATTATTGTAAAAATGGTATAAATAATATCAGTACACTAGTGAAAGAATATTAGACTCCCCAGTTGACATGTATTGGACGTGTGGCGTGATTTGCTTACTCCTGAACATTGGTAAAAATCAAACATTTCCGCTACTTTGAGCTCAATTTCAAGGTCGTTTTCATCATGAAACTAATCAAAATCTTCTCTATTTCTGTAATATGTTTTCCATTTTATCACACGAGACCATGAAAACGAGAATACAAGGATAAATACTATGTGAAAATACACCTCAAAGTCAGCGTTTTAATCCAAAAAAGTCAGTTTTTTTTTTCTCATGCACTGCGTGCTGCAGGATTTTTTTATGTGGTGCACACTGACCACACAGACCCATTCTCTCACATTTGGGCCTACCAGCTTTCTCCTGCTTGATTTGAAGCCGCTGGAATTACGCGTATGAATACGTCCAAAACAGTGGAGCGCAAGACGTATATATACGACCAAAACAGTCAAAGGGTTAAAAGGTGACTAAAATCTCAGAGCAGGTGACTAGTAGCCCATTCCATATAAATTACTGAATTGAAGAAGGAAATTTTAAAACTTGATGTTTGAATTTTCATGAGCATATTACAAATGATAAGAAAGAATTTATTGTGAATGTTATGAATGAAAAGAAATTGGATGTCCCTGCATAAGCAAAACAAAACTTAAGCAGGTAGGGAATTTCTGTGGGAAAATATTAATAATAATGAATTTTTCTTTTCTGCAGTATACAGGTAATGTAGTTCACATGTAATAAAATATTGTTGGGCACAAAAGAAAGCCACTAACATGTAGTGCATTTTGGACAGACTAATCCTAATGCTTAAAGACTGGGTTATTTAGTAAGAGTTTAAATGTATAAAAAAGAGGTAACTGAATGAACAGTAGTAAAAATTTTAAGTATGTATTCATACTTAAGATTTATTCAGTGGTCTTCAATTAAGTGGGATTTCTTAAACAAGTAGTTTCAATCTGTCTCAAAGTCTTCAGTTTTTTGGAATGATTGAAAGAGATGGTGAAGATACAGGAAGGTAATTTCAGTGGAGATATGATGGAACAAGATGCTTAATTAATTTTATCGGAGTTTGAGGATGACTGGAAGTACAGGGATAGAATTGGGTGAGCTGGTTGTTTTGCATATCACAGTGATGGTTTAGTTATGTTAGAGATGAGGTGCTTTCTAACAGTAGCTCTAAATTGATTGGCAGACATAGGACCTTTCATTGATTCGGACAATGAATTCCATTTCTTAGGGCCTTCTATGCACATTGAGTTTTTGCATAGGTCAAGTTGGACACATGGACACTGGGGATGTTCAAGAGAGTTGTCTTGTATTATGCCTGTGTGTTCTGTTGCTGCTATCAAGGAAAAATTCCAGAGGCAGGTTTGTGTTGGAGTAAACAGGATTAGGTCAGGTGTATCTGAAAGAATCAAAGCTAAGGAAGGAATACCAGTAAAGTTAAATGATCATTAGTGGAAAGAAAAGAGGGGACTGTAAATGTATAAATCCAAGGATTATGTGTATTAAAATAAGGATGGGATATGAGCCTTGGGTTATACCAAGTGTACTCGCCTAATTGTAGTTGCAGGGGTCGAGACTCGGCTCCTGGCCCCGCCTCTTCACTGAACACGACTAGGTCCTCTCTCTCCCTGTTCCATGAGCTTTATCATACATCATCTTAAAGCTATGTATGGTTCCTGCCTCCACTACATCACTTGCCAGACTGTTCCACTTCCTGACCACTCTGACTGAAGAAATACCTCCTTAACAACCCTGTGGCTCATCAGTGTCTTCAACTTCCAAGAGTGACCCCTTGTTTCTGTGTCCCCTTTCTGGAACATCTTGTCTCTGTCCACCTTGTCTATTCCATGCAATGTCGTCAGGCCGATTTCCCTTAACCTTTCTTCATAGAACATTCCCCTTAGCTCTGGAACTAACCTTGTCACAAACCTTTGCACTTTCTCTAATTTCTTAACGTGCTTGACCCGGTGTGGGTTCCAAACTGTGTGTGTGTGTGTGTGTGTGTGTGTGTGTGTGTGTGTGTGTGTGTGAGAGAGAGAGAGAGAGAAGAGGAGTGAGAATGAGAGTGTGTGAGAATGAGAGGTGTGAGAGAGTAAGAGTGTGTGAGAGTAAGGGTGTGTGGAGAGTAAGGGTGTGTGAGAGTAAGGGTGTGTGAGAGTAAGGGTGTGAGTGAGGTAAGGTGTGTGTGTGAGAGTAAGGGTGTGTGTGAGAGTAAGGGTGTGTGAGAGAGTAAGGGTGTGTGAGAGAGTAAGGGTGTGTGAGAGAGTAAGGATGTGTGAGAGAGTAAGGGTGGGTGTGTGTGTGTGTGTGTGTGTGTGTGAGAGTAAGAGTGTGTGTGTACACTCACCTAGTTGTACTCACCTAGTTGAGGTTGCAGGGGTCGAGTCCAAGCTCCTGGCCCCGCCTCTTCACTGGTCGCTACTAGGTCACTCCCCCTGAACCGTGAGCTTTATCGTACCTCTGCTTAAAGCTATG